TTACGAGAGCTTTTTAAATAACTTGTAAATTGCATTTATTATCCTTTCATTCGAACAAATCAGTTTCAATAATAGATTGCTTGCAATAAGCTAACAAAGTTTTATGACGAAAGTCTAACGATGTTTCGTTATGCATTAAAACCATATATCGATGTGTCGATCGTCGATTTTCAGGGACGCTATGCAGGGTAAATCATGTTTTAAATAAATCGAACACAATGGATAACGATCATTTTGCCGTTCACACCCAAACATTGCTTCTTTAACTAGCTTCTCAGTATCTTCCCACAAGTGCCTTTCCACGGTGGCCTCAGGACCTCCTGATACCTCAATAAATACTGTTTCCTTGTTATTTGAGGCCTTCATGCAGACACCACTGCTTTGTTTAGTGTCAAATCAAACTCTGGGAACAGCAGTTTCATAAGTCAAGTTGAACTTCCATTCAATCAAATTTGTATTCTCTATAAATGGATTGTATTACTTTAAACAATGGAACAATTTGTTCCACAGTGTGTTTTCTTTCTCCAATATTTCGATCTATTGAAGCCTCACTAGTCATGAAAAAACTGAATTCAAGCAGTGAGAGTTAATCTGTTGTTTCAAGGAATTCTGGATAATATGTATACTCACAAATCATTAAGAATTATACAGTCAACCCTCTCTATAGTCATGCTGTCAGGAACAATGCAACTTTTGTTGAAAATGTGCTTATAAAGAGGTTGTGACTATATAGAGGGTTTTTCCTATAAGTTCAATAGTAATTGGTTCTCAAACATGATGTGCTTATAAAGAGGTTTTTATATGATGTGCTTATAGAGGGTGTGACTATAAAGAGGGTTGACTGTATTTACATATCTTTTGAAATTGATGTTCAGGGTTTATGAAGTCATAATGGCATTCAAGAACTTATCCTTTTCAGATTAAAAGAGATCTTTTAATATACACCCATACTATTACATCAATGCTTGGAAGAAGATTTGTGCTAACTTACTGATAGTATGTCTATATAAGCCATTTTTGAATTTCATCTGAAATTTCCGGAATTGTAACATCTTGATCAACCTTCATGATCAAACCTTGTTCATTAATGTATACTGATATGTGCTTTGACATGTATTGGAAAGAATGCTTGCAGAGCTTTGGTTTTTGCAGGGTGGTAATTTCTTTAGCTTCCCCATTACCATGTGGTCTCAGAGATGGTGTCTTCAGCTGATAATAATAGATAATAACAATTACTTAGAGCTTTTATAAATAAAATAGACCATATTAATATAGTAATAGGCTAACTTACACCATCATCATCATGATGCACATGTGTGTTCACACTTTCTTGATTTTTGCCTGAATCAAAGAGTGTAAAAAGATTGAAATATATGTTGGTATTGCTCACCTTCTTTCGTACCCTCATAAGTAGAATCTCGTCTCAGCACAATTTATTCTACTGGTTCTTTTTTCTCGCGATTTTATAGAAGAAGGTTTGACAACGGTTCCATTTATAGTCCCATTGATCGTCCCATAGATAGTTCCGCCGTTCGCAATTTCCGTAACATTCACATGAATTTGGGAAGGCCGTTACCTGAAAAACACGATCACAGGCATTCGGATTTACAAATTGTGTCTTTCTTATCCGAACCCGAAATCTATGCGATTCAGTAATAAAGCTAGTACTAGGACGCAGAGACGTATTTTAAGTCAACCGCTACGGCGCACTTAAAAAGCTTTTCCCTTTTATGTTGATCTTCCTTTTCGTTATGAGTAAGAGTTCAATAAATTTCACAACGACTGGATTTCGTTCAGCAAGCCATTTGGAAGGAGAATATTCTAAAAGACTATCTAAACCAAATCGCTCATGGTTTTTCATCAAACTTATTATATCATCGTACAAA